AGTTGTCATGGAACACTACTAGAAAACTTGCAAAATCCGTCCACAGAATACTGACCGAAATCGGTCGAAAAATAGGTAAATTGGTTGCAAAAGTTAAAGAAAATATTTCTCACAAAGATACCGATCACCATCGGTAGGAAATAGTGGTCCCACAACAAAACAACACAGCTACATCTGATACATATAAAGTTGTAAAAGACTCATATGGCGGATAAAGTTGTTGAAGCATGTTAGTCTGAGTGTTATCTCATAGCTCTAAGATAAGTTGTCATGGAAGAAATATTATGACCTTAAGAAACAGTGATGAAGATGCATAAGCATGGACCAGATACACCTTAGACAAATCGACAGACGGTTCATTGCAAACACATTAGTTAAATATGATTTGAAAGAGAGCAGTACTTGCATATGCCGAAATTCCAACCCAAACTCAAGCAGCAGTCAAGAAGTTTTATAATTAGAAATGCGTTCGCGTGAAACCTGACACGTTCGCGAAGAGCAGAGCCTGTTTCGTTTACGCGATCACTAGAGAGTCCATGTGTTCGCGAAAGTATATCCCACCTAACTTTCGCGTTCGCGAGACTGGACTCGCATTCGCATAGAGTCACCTAGATTCCCTACCCCCACCTCAATACACTACGCGTTCGCGTGTGACTGGCCGCGTTCGCGTAGAGCAGGCCCCCCATTGCTCTGCGTTCGGGACCAGTGTCTCGCGTTCGCGTAGATGAAAAACTCACCCAGCCCAGTTCACTCTTCGCAATCGCGAGATTACCTTCGGGATCGCGAAGAAGGAAACCAGATAACAGCTGAAGCTGAGGAAAAACCAAATTTTCTAAGTCTAAAACCATTCGTAGCCCATCCGAAATTCACCCGAGTCCTCGATGCTCTAAACCAATCATGCACACAAGTCCAAAAACCACATAAGTACTTGTTCACGCGATCAAAATGCCAAAATAACGCCTAGAACTACGAATCAGATACCAAATCAAATGAATTTTTTAAGAAAACTTTAAATCTTCTATTTTAACAACTGAACGTCCTAATCACGTCAAACTAACTCCGTTTCTCACTAAATTTGACAGACAAGTCATAAATATAGTAATGGACATGTACCGGACTGCGGATCAAAAATATGGATCCGGTATCAATAAAATCAAAATCGGTCAATTCTTAAAAATCATTAAACCTTTAAACTTTCAATTTTCGATAAAAATCAATAACCCGAGCTAGGGACTTCCGAATTTGATTCTGGGCATACGCACAGGTCCCAAATCACGATACGGACCAACCGAGACCATCAAAATACGAATCCGGGTCTGTTTGCTCAGAACGTTGACCGAAGTCAACTCAAATGGATTTTTGAGGCACAATTTCATATTTTATCAGTTTTTAACATAAAAGCTTTTCGGAAAAACACTCGAACTATGCACGCAAATCAAAAAGACTAAAATGAGATATTTGAGGCTTCGAAACATAAATTTAGATTCTAAAACTCTAAATGACTTATCGGACAATAACATCGAGCTTGCTAAATTAGCGTCTCTTGTAGTATGATGAAGAGCTTCAAGTCACTGTAACAGGGCAGTCATGGCCCTAGGTTGTCCTGTACATTTGTCACGTTTTACCCCAACTATGCTATCACCATTCCCAAGGCAACTAATCAATTTAATGCAAAGAGAATTTATATATATATATATATATATATATATTAAAGCAAGAAAGTTACCATATATAATTGACATTATAATTAAATCAAAGTGGCAAACTAATAAATGTCAATAGTATATGATGACTTTATTCTATATTTGACTATTTTAGTTATATATATATATATATATATAAAAGCAAAGAAAGTTTGCATTGTGGTTAAGCCAAATGGCAAGCTACTATAAAACCACTTGGCAATCTTAAAGAGTTTGTGGGAGATTGTCAGATAAGGAAATATCACTTAAGAACTATATATGGAATTCCATTTATTGAAATTAAATTGAAATAATAATTCTTTTTTAAAAAAAATAAAGTTCAATCTCTGTACTAATATTTTCTAACTGAAATTTTTTATTTGGAAAGTAAAGAATTTTAATATCAATAGTATTTGGATTCCTTTTCCAATATCAAGTGAGAAGAATATATCCTACCGTAATCTAATGTGCAATTTTAATTTATTTTAAAAATTCAATACTTTTTAATGAGTTGAAGAATATATTTTATGGTTTTAACTTAAAGTTCAGAATGTAGATATATTTAATAATTTATTTATTTCATAATGGATAATCCCAAAGTACTATCTGTTTTAGACTAAGTTTCCTGAANGTATATGGTGACTTTATTCTATATTTGACTATTTTAGTTAAATATAAATATAATATATATATATATATATATATATATTAAAGCAAGAAAGTTTGCATTGTGGTTAAGCCAAGTGGCAAGCTACTATAAAGACACTTGGCAATCTTAAAGAGTTTGTGAGAGATTGACAAATAAGGAAATATCACTTAAGAACTATATAAGGAATTCCATTTGTTGAAATTAAATTGAAATAATAATTCTTTTTAAAAAAAAATAAAGTTCAATCTATGTACTAATATTTTCTAACTGAATTTTTTTATTTGGAAAGTAAAGAATTTTGATATCAATATTATTTGGATTCCTTTTCTAATATCAAGTGAAAAGAATATATCCTACCGTAATCTAATGTGCAATTTTAATTTATTTTAAAAATTCAATACTTTTTAATGAGTTGAAGAATATATATTAAGGTTTTAACCTAAAGTTCAGAATGTAGATATATTTAATAATTTATTTATTTCATAATGGATAATCCAAAGTACTATCTGTTTTAGACTAAGTTTTCTGAATTTTAAACAAGTATACAATAAAAATAATTTTTTTAAAGGCTAAAAGCTTCAACAAAAATAATAATTACTAAAAGTTTAATAATAAATATACCGTAATATATTGGTAAAGTACTATACAGTTTGATCATATGCACTTTTATTTTTGTCTATTATTGAATAAAACACTAAATAAAATATCATACTTACTAGGGAAAATAATTTAGAAAGAGCGAGATAAAGATAGTGTGAGAGAATTTTATATTTTGAATTAATTTAAATGAGCAAATAAATAATTAATACTCAAAAATATTATATAGTGAAAAATTAAAAATAAATAAAAAGATTATTTTAAGAGAAAGAAAAACCATATTCATTATAATATATTACAATAGAAGTAACAGATAGGGATATAAAGTAAGTGACAAGCTAATAAAAAGTTAAGTAATAATGTAACTATATTAAGTAACGGGTAACACATAACAATAGACAAAGTACAAAATATAGAGATTTGTTTTGTAAACAAATAATATAATTGTAGATATATATAAGGATTAGACATTTAAATTTGATATAAGAAAACTTTTTGAATTATTACAAGAAAAAATATATTATATGTATAATATCACGCAATTGAAAATATAATTTATAAACCTAAAATTTAAAAAATTTACAACTAAATAATGCCAAGCAACAAATTAACAATATAAAGATGTAATTAAAATTGTCATGTAGTTAAAGTTATTAAAAAAATTTAAAGTCAAAACTCTTTACGAAAACAAAAGAAAAAAATTAATTGCTTATTGCACATAATACTAAACAATAATTACTAAAAGTGTAGATTTATGGAAAATAATAAAAGAACTTCTTCGTTTAAACTTTGGCATATTTTCAAAAAAATTAGAAAAATAATACGGTAATGTTTATATTATAGATACAACACAAAATGTGAAAAATAATTAACATATTATATGATAGAAAATAATATATATATATATATATATATATATATATATATATATATATAGGAGAATAGAAGCAATGTGAAGGGTCTCTACACTTTAAATTTGTTTAATAAAATAATTAAATAGGAAAATAATATTATTGATAAATTTAAATAAAACAATTGGAGCTACGGAACAAAAGAACAATGTTAAATTAAATTTTAGGGTAATACAAAACTATATTTATTATATTATACTAGAAGTAGAGCAATGAGTAATGACATTAAGTAACGGGATAAGCTAATAAAAAGTCACATGGCAATATAGCAAATGTGCATTATAATTGAGGTAACTAGCAAAATTATTGAGCAAATTAAGATCCAACTATTTTATAAGTTGGTAACTCCCAAAAGTTAGAATATATTGGTTGTTAATAAATTATCATGTATGTATATATTAATTTGTCACCGTATAATTTTAGGTTAGTAGAAGTTGATGTTGATGTGAGAATTTATTATGTTGAGATAATAATATAATATATTTTTATAATTTAAATTAAGATATTACTAAATGTATTTTTATTTGTTATTACTCTATATAGTATGACTCCACTCAGTTTCAATATAGATGAGATAGTTTGACTTGACACGAAATTTAAGAACGAAAAAGAAAACTTTTGAAACTTATGATACTAATAGTTTTGTGGGGTCATGATATTTGCATGGATGTAAGAACTTCTCAATATATATAGATGAGTAAAATAAAAAATTTAAAGTTAAATTATTTCCAAATACAAAAATGTGACATTCTTTTGGAACAGACTAATAAGAAAAATATTTTATATAAATTGAAAGGGAAAGAGTATTTATTTTTGAATCATACTGTATTTTTATTTGTTTGTATCGGCGGCTATATATGAGGTTATAATATTTAAGTTTATGTCAATAGTTATTCATATAATTTATTCTTTTTAATTTATAGAATTTAGCAGATCATAATATTATTCGCACATCGTACGGATACTAATACTAGTGAATGTTAAAGAATATGTGCAACATGCAATCATTGCAAACTTAGCCGTCCACATACTGGCTGGTCCATAAATTAATGGATCATAAAAGGGAAAGAGGGATTTAACACAAATATGAGAAAAGAAGCGGACACTTATGGTAATTCATACTAATTAATTACGAAGGGGCTTCGACCTATAGGTCACGAATTCGAGTTGTGGAAGCAGACACAAATATTTATATTAGAGTATACTATCTACATTACATTTTTTGGGATGGAGTCCTTTCCCGAACCCTACGTAAATATGGAATACCTTGTGTACTAAGCCGCCCTTTAAAAGGGAAAAAAGGAATACATGTATAAAGAGATAGTTATGAACTAAACTATGACTTCCCCGCTAATTTTGTTGTTTTAAACCTTGTTGGTTTAGTATCTAGACCACTTTTTCCCCTGCTAACTTCTAAACAGAAACATAGCTTTGTTTCTTCCATTTCTCCTTCTTTTAAAGGAGAAAGAGAGACTATTTGAGGATCATTGCTTCAATCTCAACCTTTCTCCATGTACAGAAGAAAATCAAACCCTTTGATTGGATACTGGCTTCTGCATAGCTGCACATTTGCAGTTTGCCCTACAGTCTGTAAGAGTCTGCAAATGATGAGATAAATGTGTGAGAAAAAAACAGTTCAAAAAGATCAAACATTAAAACTTGATAGGTGCAACTTTTAAAGCTCTTATGGATACATAGTTTAGTATTTGCTAAAAAAATTGTAATTATTCACATATATAAATTTAAGTGGTCAGAAAATATTGAGGGGTCGTTTGGTATTGATGGATAAGCAAAATAATCTTGAAATAAAAATTTAGTACCGCCGTATCCCTTGTTTGGTTATTAATCCTAGAATAACTTATCCTAGGATTAAAAATTAGTACCGGGATAACTTATATTTGCTAGAGGGTAGAATAGCAATCCCAGGATAAGTTATTCCAGGATAAAGTAGTAAAATTGACAATCTCAGCATTTATACAACATACCAAACAATCAATAAGAAATAATATTAAGATAACTAATCTCAACATAACTAATCCCGTTATAACTTGTCTTTAAACCAAACGACCCCCTTAAGTTCTTTTGAATCATAGCACATAAACTCCATCAGACTCTGCTTAGAATACGAGGTAATAGCTCAAATAGTAAGCTACTCAACCTAAAAAGATTTTATTAAAGCAGAGAGTTTGGAATTATGCCAAATTCTTCCCATAATACCTTGTACTGTTTTTGGAGGTCTTTAATGTAATCAACAGCCAAATCTAACATGTCTGCTGTGTTAGTTTGCTGCCAAAAAAATGAGTCATAAACTTAGTGCGGTTCCACCTTGGCCCAAAAAAAGAGAAAACAAAGACAAATACGTATGGATAACCTACCTTGTCCATGTTTGGGACAAGTTCCTGCAGTTTCCTCATTCTTTCACTAATTCGAGTTCTTCTTACCTGAACAATACCACCATATAGTTTCATTCAAGAATTTAGACTAAACAAGTTGCAACGATAAATGAGAGTCTTGGAACAATGATAAAGTTGTCTATGTGTGACGTATAGGTCACAGGTTCAAGCTGTGAAATCAGCCAATAATACTTGCACCAGGGTAGGCTGCCTACATCACACTCATTGGGATGCGGCCATTCCTTGGACCCTGTGTGAACGTTGGATGTTTCATGCACCAGGCTGCCCTTTTCTTAAGTTGCAACGATATCAAATTTGTTCACATTTAGATTCATGATTTAAGTTTCAATCAAAGAAACTGCCTAATATTTACTTGGACAACAATGAAGATCGATAATAGATTCAGAAAAGTCGTACCCTCTCGGCAATGCTCCGTGGATGAGTAGCAAAACCACGTTTGGCACGGACTTTACACGGAACGGTCTCTTGGAGTTGGAATAACTTCTCCATTGCAGCTATTTCAGCTGGTGTCTTTGGTAAACTTAAGTGGTGTGACAAAATTGGAGGCTGATTCCCAAGTTGTCCAATCTGGTTGCACACAAGAATGTCAAATCCAAAAGTGTTTTAACTTCTATAAATTGGCAGTGTAAAAGAAGTTTTACACTATCAGATCACTTAGTAAATAACTTCAAGCAACCGTCCATAGAAAGTGATATTAGTAAATAGTCGTTAGTTAAATTCAATCGAAAATCGAGATAATCCTAATGCATAGATGCCAAATTATACCTCAGTTGTGCCACTCTTATCTTTTACTGTCGAAAAACTGGATTCGTGAAAAATAGAGGATCTCCACTTGACTTATAGCTGCGAAAGAAAAAGCTAGTCAAAGGTATTATTCTCTTACCTGAGAATTAGCAAATAACTTCTCTTCACTATCCAGCATCTCCCTTTTGTGGCCAGTGAAGGACTCCTGAAAATGTGATGCCTCACTCCAAGAGGCAAATGGTAATCCAGAATTGTAATATTGAGTTTCTGAGTTTCCATTTCCAGACTTGTCATCATCAAGGCTAGTGGTAATGCTGCTGCTCTCATTCTCGACCTCGTTGGTTCGAGACAACATCCCCAAGGAAGAAGGTGAAACTGTATCTCCATTGCCACCATTTACCCTTCTATAACCTCCAACACCACAACCTGCAGATTAAATTGCTGGTAAAACATTTAACTAGTTGAGAACGACGATTAGTACAACAACAACAACCCACGGTAATTCCACAAGTGAGGTCTGGGGAGGGTAGTATGTACGCAACTTTATCCCTATCCCGGAAGGCAGATTGACTGTTTCGGATAGACCCTCGGCTAAAGAACAACGATTAGCACTTTATTAATTGCACCTTTTCCCCATTATAGAAGTCTTAAAAGAACATCAAGAATGAAAATAACAACACAATTAGGAATCTTTTTACATAGCAAAGTGAAATAAAACAATCCAACTGAAGTATATATATAAAGGGTCAAATTGCCCCATTGAATATTAGTATTCATTTAAGCAAAGGGATATGTTTTCAACTCACCAACTTCTCACAAAAGTAGAATACAAATCTAAAAGTGACTTTCCAAAAGAAGAAAGAAATGAATGCATCAACAATAAATAAATAAATAACTAAATAAAATAATCAAAGAGTACCATTTTGAGAATTGAGGTGAGAGAATAAGCCAGCAGGGGAACTGTTTTGTCTCATAAGATTTGATCCCAATTTATTTTGCCTTTGATGATCCATTTCCATTGAACTCACAACCTTATACCCTTTATCCATTGAATTTTGCCTTGGATATGGAGGTGGCAGCTGTGAATTATTCAAACCAAGACTGCTACCAAGATTCAATTTTGAACCCAACCCATTCTTATAATTCCCATTCTTGACAACTTTATCAGAGAAATTTGCTAGAAAAGAAGTTGGAGCTGAACTAAACCTTAATAATCCAGAAGTAGTTGTACTGTTTTTATACTCTGACTCCATGTTTAATAGCTCTTCTCTCTTCTTTAAAACTAACCCTTCTTTAGTTTTGGTATTTGCAGGGGAATTACCATACATTCCTTCACCTTTTTTTTTTTTTTTTTTT